CCCCACTGAACTGCCCCTCCTGAGCGACTCCCCCCCCGAGCTGCCCCCCAGAGCTGCTCCTCCTAGCCCCCTAGATGCTCTCACTCTGGAGGTGCACTCTCCCAGAGCTGCACTGCGTCAAGCCACATGGGGAGGCCCCGAGGGCGTGTCCCAGGCCTCCCTGTACTGTCCACGTGCAGCCTTGCCTGAGATTTGGGCTGGCTGAGGCCAGGGCAGATTGCTGTGCCAAGACCCTGTGGGGTTGTCCCCTTTGTCTCTGTCTCTTTCATGGGAGAAACAAATAAATAAACTCTAAGAAAAAAGAATGTGGCAGAAGAGTCTATGCTGGCAGGATCTGGCCCCGCTCAGGACCGTCCATGGGCAGTGGGGCTCCGTGGGCAGCTCAGGGCGGCGATGCAGAGGGTCCTGCTGCAGGCTAGAGCACCTTCCCATGCACTGGGAAGGGCCATCGCCTGACCACGAGGGCTGGACAAGGACAGGTGCCTCCTAGCAGTGAGAGCACCCAGAGGGGACAGTGGCCAGGCCATTGGAGCCCAACAGGGACCTCCTAAGGGGTGGCCAAGACTGCCCGATCAGGGACCTCTGCTTGGGGTCTGGTGCAGCAGCTCTGCGCTTCCGGGCCACCCCAACCCAGGCGCTCCCATGTTGTCTATTTTAACCCTGGGGAACTTTCTAGAAGAACTGGGAAGCAGCTCCTTGGGCTCCTTTGCTATCCCAGGTGACCTCAGCCACAAGCTTTCTTCTCCTAAACCCTCCAGAATCCGCCTGCCAGCACTGCTGACTGTGCTTGGTCCAGTTGTGTTGTTGTTGTTGTTATTTTTCTTTTGTTTTGTTTTGTTTTCAGGTTTTTGCTATAGGGCACATGTGCTCGCCAGGCAGACAGAGACAGAGACAGATAGCGAGAAATCGCCCCTCACAGGGGATGGCCACGCCGCAATCCCTTCTCCTCCATTCTCCTCTCAGGATCTTGGGCACGCACGCACACGCGCCCGGTGTGAGTTTAAGCCACCAGGTCCGAGACTTGAACTGAGGTCGACTACATGGGAGTCCAGTGATGTAGCCATTACGCTAACTGCTGGTCCTTGGTTTTTGTTTCTAAAGCCCTTCATCCATGGTGGGAAACGTGTGGTCCTGAGCCCCTCTGCGGGCACTCTGAGGCAGGGTGAGCAGTGGGCAGTGGGCACGAGGACTCCGCGAGCAGATGCAGGTACGGCTCCCCATGCTGGTCTACCCCATCTTGCCCACCTGCCCTGGCAGCAGAGGATTGGTTTCTGAGCTCTGCCCTCGACAGCCTCCCTCCCTTTCTCTCCTCCTCGAGGCCGGGCGGTCACTGGGGTCCCATGTCCAAGCCCACTGAGGGCACTGAGGGTGGCGAGGGACACCGAGCATCTCCAGCTGTGCATGTGCTGCTCAAGGTCGGCAGCCCGCCCTGATGCCGTCACGGTGCCGTTCTGCCCTGCCACTCACATTTTCGCCATCGTCTCATCCACGGGCTTGTGGCCACCGTCCCTCACAGCTCTGGGGTATTTCAGAGAGGGCCTTTATCATGGGTACGTAACGATTCCTCCGCCACAGCAGCACTGTGGTGCAATTACAATTGTTTCAGTGTTTTCAAGATAGACTTCGGGAATCCTGGGGTTGGCAAGCTGAATTTCCTAAGACATTGTTGTTAAACTTCTCTCTAAAACGTCTGGGCCCATCCTCAGGCCCTGGAGTCCCGGGTGGCAACGTCCACGCTGACTTTGCTCCTGCAGATGGTCCCGACAGCACCCCGTGCAGGAGAGACATGGTGCAGGGGCCCTGGGAAGGGAGCCAGCCCTCGCCTTTGCCACCTCTGGGAGAGCCGAGCAGGGAGCCGTGGGCAGACGAGACGTCCTCGGGCCGGAGTGGAAGCGACACCGTCGCGTACAGCACACCAGGCGGCACGAGCTTCGACCTCACACCTGCGGCACCAGGAGAGCTCTGGGAGTCACAGCAGAATTTAACAAGGAGCCCGAGGCTCACACCCTCAAGTCCTGTGTCCTAGAAACACTCATGTTTATATGTGCCTGTTACAGGAGAGTGTGTCTGGAATTGAACCGCGACTCTAACACAGGTGACATGAAGTGGTGACTCTCCGTGAAGTGGCATTAGAAGGGCTGTTTGAGTTTTATGGTGACTTTGGGACACTGACCTTGCTGACCGGGTGGAAGGCCCAGGTGCCAGGTAACCAACAGCGGGGCCACCTGCCAACACCTGCCCGGACGCGGTGCTCTGGGGGCTGATTTCAGCAGCTGGACAGGAGGTGGTGATCGGACCCGCCAATGCAGGGACACTTAGCAAAACGACCAGTCATCATGGCCGGGAGCCCAGGGAGGCCACGGAGCTGCCTAAGAACACCGAGATGAAAGGGGTGGGCAGGCCATCAGGGCTGAGTGCGAGCCTGGACTGGGTGCCTGTAGGGTAAGTTTAGGAAGGACACGGGGCTTGGCAGGGGACATCCAGACGAGGGTGCAGCTAAATAAGAGCCATCAGACCACGGAAGTAGCTGGGGCCGGAGCCATGCGGCCCAATGGCCGTTCCTGAGTCCGACCAGCGGGCACCCAGCTACTTCCGCGGTCTGATGGAGAGCTCGTGCCCACGCCTGCGCTCGGGGCCAGGGTTGAGCCGGAGTGCCGGCCGCACCGAGACGCGAGTGAAGACGCGGACCGGGAGCATCGTCCGTGCTGCAAACGTGGCAACACCGTTTTATTCGGAGTAAGGTGTGTTAACATCCAGCATGACAAAACCGTACAAAGGTCACGATTTAAAAATGAAGTATCACAGCAACGTTGTGATCTCACACGTTTAGAGCAAAATTAAAGTGTCGACAAACCCATGCTGCGTAGTACAAAAATAAATCAAACTTCAGTCCCACAGAGAGCACAATAAATAGTTATACAAAATTCTGTCTTAATAAATGATCACTTAAATGAACTTAGAAATGAATATGAACAATAGTTATAATAAATAAACTCTGATGACTCACGATAACCCATGGAAGTCGGCATTCTAATAGGTGATACTTGCGATCCCTAGAATAGTCACAGATACTTGGATTCGATATTAGGCCCCAACGTTACATGGGCAGCAGGTTTGTGCTTACATCCCTTTCCATTGTACACAGGTGAGAACGAGAAGAATCCGAACCGACACTACCTAGCACTCTACGAGAAGCATCACTAACGGGCAACGAGGCAGCAGACACAGCGCGCGGAGGTGCACGTGCCTCACGGAGCGCCCGAGGGCGAGGCCGGGCCGCCGCGCAGTGGCCACACACCTGCTCCGGCTCTCCGAGGCCATCTGAGCACGGCAGCTACAACTACAAGCACGACAGAAAGCACTGTACAGAGGGCCGCAGAGCCCGGCAATCACACCGTCTTCCCAGCTGGGCACGGAGGTCCTCGTGGAAAACTGTCCGCTTTGTACAGTGAGCGTAAAGTGCGGCTGGGTATGCATATATGTGACATCGCGACAGACCGAGGTCGGAACTGGATCAGGATAGCTGCTGTGAGATCCCTGTCGTCTCCCTGGCAACGTGAGCGGGTCGGCCGGGAGCCTCCTCCGTAGTCCATCGGGCGAGTGTCGCGGCTGCCAGCACTCGCAGCGCATCCCTCCGTACGGGTGGAGAGGACAGGTGAGTGCAAATAGCCGACTGGCACGTTGTGGGGACAATGACCCTGTAAGTCCTGTTCTGCTAAAAATATTTTTTTTAATTTTTACAAAACCCTTCTTTTTATTTCATAACAAAATTTTAAATTACTCTTGTACTTCCTGCATAACATCAAGACATGGAAGGAAGAGAGGCTAGTGAGGGCGCGTCGAGTCAACATCGGGAAGCACGCGTGTCGCCAGGGCTGCTCCGAGGGCGCAGCGGGCAGAGCGGCCGTCCACGTGCGGACCACGCGGTCACGGGGACAGCCAGACCTGCAAGGACGGACAAGCCTAAGGTGATCGAGTTCAAAGCAAAAAAGTGCTGAAGTAGATTTTGTTCCTTTTAAAGTCTGATTTCATTCATTCTCAGAATAGGTCACGACAGGCCAAACCACAGACCACACAAATGCTGTGGTCAACTGGTCTTCGCGGAGGGCCGCTCCTAGGTGCCAGGCGAGCAGCAACTCTGTGCAGGACCGCGTGCTCGTTCAGAGTGAGGTCAGGCAGCAGCTTCCCGCCCACGGGGTCCGGCGGAGAATCGGCTCAGCAGGGAGAGTGCCACAGCTCGCCGGCCCCGTCTCTCCCAGGTCCCACGACAGTGGGTGTGACAGTGACAGGCATGAGCGTTAGAAGTGGAAGGGGCAGAGAAATGCTCTTAGCTGATCTTTCAGCTTAAATCGAACACAGATCCCGCTGGGCGAGTCGCACTGCACAAGCAGACGGGTCGGAGGGGCTCGGGCTCTAGGGCAGTAAGAGAAGGTTGTTCCGAAGTCCATCGCAAACGGAAAAGGACCTCTTCGCGTGGCCGCCTCTGCAAAGTTCCTGTCTCACTGCAGCGTCCACGGTCACACCACGGAATGTCTAGGAGTTCATTTAAAAGTGCTGCTTAAGCTGCTTTGACTCTTCTGCCAAGTTCCCATGGCTGATGTTGTCTTACAATACATTACTTATCTCATTCCTTACAGTTAGTGCATAGGCCATTTCCTTGGAATGCAAAAAAGCTCATTTATTGCCCCACCATACACCATCCTCCTAAAACAAACAAACAAAAAATCACATAATATTTCCAGGCATTGTTCAAAAATAAAGCATTTTTGCAACCGATTCTTGCTGTGAAACGATATGCACACGGGATGCACTTCTGATCCCAGAAGGTCCTCCAGCTCGGGCAGAACGACTCGGAGGGGAGTGGCTGGGGCCACGGCGCGGTCGTTCGAAGCTGTTTTGTTTGTCCATCTCGGTTCAAAGTACTAGAACATTTAATTGCTAAAGCATTAAAAAGAATGTACACTCTATTTCTGTTGATCAGCTTACCTCTTCGGAAACACATACACCCCGAATGTGCACATGTTAGCAGCTATGAGCGTACATGGCATGTCACACTACGTCAGCCTACATGGAAGTACAGAATGGCATGTATTCCGAACTATCTGCAGGTGCTATTTGGAAAGCAAGACATGGAATCATTATGAAGTCCTGTAGCATAACACTGTTCCCAACAGAAATAAAAACGTGACACTTCCTGGGCATTTACAGCAGCACAAACAAGAGGCATCCTTTCATAGCCAGGGTCTCATCACTACAGCAGCTGCTCAGGCCTGAATTCCTCTCACAGCCTGCTTTATGTTTTCCAGTAGGGCTTTATTTTCTGGACTCTGATAACGGTCTTGATTTGAATACATTTCCGTCAAAGTAGTCACGTAAGCATCAAAATTTTGTTCATTGATTGGATCCTACGAGATATTAAATATAGTTCATACACAGTTTGACTTCTGAGTAGTATATTCACAACAGCATAGCACAGTATAACCGCACGGCGCCCTGTCGTTCCGGCACTGCAGAGGCCTGCTCAGAACACTCGCGTCTCGGGGCTGCCGCACCCAGGCCTCTGGCAGTTACGGTCACGGTTTCGGGGTGGCCACCACAGGCACCGGAGGGCCGGCGAGCACGGGCAACGCAGCCCTCGGCGGCTCCGCGCACCCTCGCTCACTTACCATGTGTGGCAGCTGAATGTTGGCCAGGCTGTGGATCAGAGACTGGCTGAGGCTGGCCAGCTCGTGCAGGAGGGACTCGTTCTGCTGCTCGATCACCTTATTCTCCTCCTCGATGGTCTTCAGGTTGCTCTCCATCGTGGTGATCTGGAACGCACAAGCGTGGACATGTAACACGGGCAGCATGTGCTGCACACACGTGCCGTGGCCACGACCATCCATGTGAGGCAGGCGAGGGCCATCGTGCTTAAGTGAGAAGGCTTGGAGAGCCAGCCGGGGAGGTGGTGAAGACAGCCCGGTCCTGCAGGCCTGAGTGTATGGTTTGAGCCCTGGACCTGGTGCCTTAAAACACACTGGGAACACGCGTGCATGCCCCAGTTCCCAGACACAGGGAGGAAGAGAGGGGGAGGGACCGTGGTGTGACCGTCCCCCATGTTTCTCTCCGGTGGGCACACACGCCCTCAGGCAGAGATTTAAAAAGAGATAAAAGCGTCAGGTTGAGCGCTCATCTTTAGTCGGGTTTTGAAGCCTCTGCGCCTCGCCCTGGACGTGGGCTAGCTGGGCTGTAAAGCCCGGTTCAGGAACTGTGCCTGGACAGCCCGCATGGCGCCGCGCCCTCCTCACCGGCTCGGCAGCCATGCCCGTGGTCTGGGCTGGCGTTTCCCTGACTCGCTGCTGCTCCTGCGTCCTCAGCCTGGATCCACAACAGCGCAGACCTCCTCGCGGGACCTCCGCCAGCCTCCGCTGACCACCGCCTGGTCCCCAGACTCTCCGCCTTCCCCAGCATTCCAGAGAGCTTCATTACTATCCAGGGACAGGTCGAGCGTGCCTCAGGGGCCTCTGCTGCAGCCGGATCAGCACTGACAGTCTCACACACACCTACACTCAGCACTCGCGCATGTGCACACGCACACTCATGCACATGTACACTCACATCAGCCCTCGTGCACACACATGCACACGCTCTCATACATCAGCACCTGTGCACACGCACACAGTAGCACTCACGCACTCACATATCAGCCCTCGTGCACACACATGCACACGCTCTCATACGTAAGCACCCGTGCACACGCACACAGTAGCACTCACGCACTCACATATCAGCCCTCGTGCACACACATGCACACGCTCTCCTACGTCAGCACCCGTGCACACGCACACAGTAGCACTCACGCACTCACATATCAGCCCTCGTGCACACACATGCACACGCTCTCCTACGTCAGCACCCGTGCACACGCACACAGTAGCACTCACGCACTCACATATCAGCCCTCGTGCACACACATGCACACGCTCTCCTACGTCAGCACCCGTGCACACGCACACAGTAGCACTCACGCACTCACATATCAGCCCTCGTGCACACACATGCACACGCTCTCCTACGTCAGCACCCGTGCACACGCACACAGTAGCACTCACGCACTCACATATCAGCCCTCGTGCACACACATGCACACGCTCTCATACGTCAGCACCCGTGCACACGCACACAGTAGCACTCATGCACTCACATATCAGCCCTTGTGCACATGCACACACACTCACACGTCAGCACCTGTGCACATGCCCACTCACACACCTGACTGGCCTCTCAGGACGAGAGGCAGTGCTGTCCGCGGGGCCCCTGCCACGCTCACGGCACAGCGGGCATCTGGTCGGGGCTTTCTGCCGGAGGTGGCTCCTGCCTGTCCGGCCCTGCCCACTCTCCTCACTTGGGGCTCTCGAGTCCCCGCTTCTGAGTTTGTCTGTCCTGCCCTGGGATCTGGTGGGTCCGTTTTCTGATGTTCTTTTCTTGCGTTTAGCTTAGTTCGCGCCTTCTCCCTTCTCTGAATCCTCGACAGTGGTGCCCCCACCCGACGACCTCCAGGACTGTGGTTCCTGTTGGTTGGGTCTGTCCTTGGAAGGGACTCATGCCCTCCACTCTCCTAGGGACCTTGCACCAGGGTCACGTACTGTGTTTCAGTGAGCTGCCCGGGCTGCCTCTGCCTAGCTCCTGCTCCTGTCATGACCCCCACAGTGAAGGCTCCGCCCCACTGACTTGCATGCTTGTGTGCCGCTGTGGTGTGGGCATGACTGTCCTGGGCCTCAGTGGACCTAGAAGTGGTATCTCTGGGGCACGTGCCCCCCGCAGCCCCTGTGCTGGGCTGGAGGAGGGGCCGACGGGCAGACGTGGATGTTCTTGGTTTGGAGCGCTGTGGGGTACACAGCCCCTCCTCTGCAGGAGCAGCCCTCCACTAAGCACCTAGAACCCCTCGGCCCTGCCAGCCCCTGCCAGCCCCTGCCTTTAGCGGCAGCCTGTGCTCCTGTGGCCCTATCCACCTTGACCCCGGCTGCTCCTGGACCATCTGCCCAGCTGATGGTGCCCCCGAGAACGGAGAAAGTTTCCTGGCTGGCCCGCCTGGCCTGCTGTGGCCCCTCACCCTGTCTGGTCGAGCCCAGCGTTACTATAGGGACACGTTGGAGATCCACTTTCTTCTCTGGGAAGACAAGCCCCGGAAAGGCCAAGGAGCAGCCCCAGGTCCTGGCAGAAGGAGGCTGTACCTTGCTGAAGGGTGACCCTGCCATGCCGATACGCTCTCTGCTGTTCCCAAGGGAGGATGCATCTCCAGCAGCTAGACCAAGGCCAGGGTGTACTGCCATGTGGTGTGTGTCACGCAGACACCACGAGTGGCCAGAACCCCGGCACAGGGCCTGCCTGTCTCCTGAAAGCCGTGCCCTGCAGAAGGGGGCGGCACCGTGGCCCTTGGCGATCATGGGGCTGGGGCCGTGGGTGAGCTGCAGACAGACCCGGCCACGCTCAAGGCCACCCTCACACTCTGTTCCTGAGAGCCTGGAGGGCCGAGTCCCCAGCACACCCTCGAACCCGCTCTCCAGGGTGCTCACATCTGGACTCGGCGCCACCCCTCGCCGGGGGTTGAGCACGGTGTCTCAGTGCGGTTGGCTTCCCTGCCTTGGCCCTAGGGAGTCCTGGGCTCCTTTCTCGGAAGTCCCAGGATGACTCCCCGACGTGCGTCTCCACAGAGGGCTGGGAGTTGCCTTGCTCTCCCTGGGCACCCCTTCAGTCTGCCAGGGCCAGCGAAAGCCGAGCACCCTGGGACTTCCCAGAGAGGGTGCACCATGTGGTGGCCTGGGGCAGGCGCTGCAGGAAAGGCTGTGCTTTAGGGTCTGGTCACCCCCCACCTGGACCCACCTGGGCTGCGGCTGACTGAGCTGGCTGGGTGCATGGCAGGGCAGAGGGAGGCCCCACCCACCTGTCCCAGGACAGTCGCACACAGCCAGACGTTCCCGTGACGGGGAGGCACGGGGCCTCGGCCACAGGCCGAGATGAGAAGGCCACGCCCAAAAACGGGGATCAGGGCTGGACAGAAGGGGTGGCCGTGGCTGTGGTCAACAGCTGAGTGCCCGGCCGCCTGCTCGCTGCTCTCCGCTGTCCTTCTCCTGTCACCGGCCGCGTGTCCCAGTACGCACACGAGTCCAAACTGTGAAGTCCACCAGCTCCCCGTGGTTGGAGGAGCCCCCCAGGAGAGCTGCTTGGGTTCTTTAAGGAGCAGCGAAGGCCACGTGCCTGGCCCCAGAAAGTGCGGGGGCCGCGCGGCAGTGCAGGAGCGTGCTTCCGTGGATGTCCACACTTCTGCCTCAACCTGACCTGAGGGGTCTCAGCACGAGCCCCCTCGGCTGGGCCAAGACTTGGGTGCCGAATCCAGCCATGGCCTGAATTTGAAGAACCCATGAACTGAGAATCTGTGCATCTTTCCCCCAAATTGCCAGAGGGTGCATGTACTGGCCAGAGAGAGAGACAGAGACAGACAGAGAGGGAGAGATAGAAAGAGGAGAGGAGGAGGGAGAAGGAGGAGTACCCTCGGAGGGGTGTGGTCATGCCACAGCCCCGTCCATGTTGCCCACCCTGGGATCCGGGGGTGCACGCACATGTGCCTGGTGCATTTTCCTTTTTTAAATAACTGTTTACTTACCTTTATTTATCATTATTACTATTTTATAATTTGCTACAGGGCACATGTGCTCACCGGAGAAAGAGAAAGGAAGTGAGAAAGCAAGCTGCCAGGTCCAGGATTCGAACCGTGGTCAGTCATATGGGAGTCCAGCATCTTAACCACTGCACTAACTGCTGGCTAAGCTCTCTGGCTGGGATTTGACTGTGCTGACCCACAGAGCTTTGGGGCTGGCCTTCTGCTTCATTTAGAAGTTGGGGAAAAAACAAAAGCATGTGCAGTGGCACTAAAAGCCCTGTAGTCAAACGTCAGTGCCTGGGTGACTGCGTTGTCACAGTGCTGATGGCACAGAGGCTGAGTGCTCCCTGGCCTGATCTACTGTCTGGTCCTGCGCAGGAATGGTTGCGATCGCTGGTCCAGGAGCGCCAGCAAGGCGGGACGGGCTTCAGGCACATTCTGGACGAAGCAGCCATGCAGGGTCCCCAGAGGTGGCAGTGCGTGGCGGGGCTGACCCAGCGGTGTCCTGGCGAAGGGCGGCCCGGTGCTGAGTGAGCGTGGAAGACCAGCAGGTGCTCAGGGTGGGGGCGGCCAGGCCACCGGGAATCTCAGGTCTTGGGAACACGGCCATAGCCTCGGCCCCAAGTGTGGTGCAGACAGACCACAGGCTGAGACCAGCCACAGCGTGACCGACCCGCCTGGCCCCGAGCGTGGTGCAGACAGACCACAGGCTGAGACCGGCCACAGCGTGACCGACCCGCCTGGTCCCGAGCGTGGTGCAGACAGACCACAGGCTGAGACTGGCCACAGCGTGACCAACCCGCCTGGTGGAGGGACGAAGCGTGGGGCCAGCACAGCGGACTGGGCAGAGTCAGACGCGGTCGTTTCTCAGCGGTTTGGCTGGGGGCGAGCTGCTGCTCCTTCGTGCTCTGGGAGGCACTGCCCACCCCACCTCCCTGACTGCACTGAGTATGCCCAGGTGGTGGCTGTGCCTGTGGTCCCCCGTCTGCCCAGCCCTGCGGTCAGCATGCATGTGCACACAGCTCACTCCCTCCCAAGCACACCCTGCTACTCTCCATTCCTGAGTCTGCCCCTCCCCTGGATGCTCCTGGGCAGAGACTCGCCAGGGGCACCTGTGGGAAGTCGCCACCCTCTGCAGCGAGGCAGGACAGCCACGGAAACGCTCCTTTCCGACGCCACGTGTAGGTGCACACAAGATGCTGTTGGGGCAGGCGCCACCTCGGCCCGTAGTGCCCCTGGAGCAGCGCCAGACAGACGGCGTGGGCACAGGGACGCTCGTGTGGATATCCCGGTGGCCGAGACCTCTCTGGGGAGGGCTGGGCTGTGGGTTTCTGGCAAGCATGGCCTCTACCCCAGTGGCCCAGCAGCGTCTAGCACCCCGGCTGCTGGGGAGCCGCTTGGAGCGGGTGTGTGCCACACATGGGGTTCCCCTAAGCTAGAAGGGGTCCCTTCCCAGGCTGACACCTACGTGCCCCTGGAATTCATCATCCCGGCAGGGGGTGGGCTCAGTACATGGACAGATGGGAAACCCTAGGCACGCACTTGCGGACTGCTCGGAAGTGTGCCATTCGGGGAAATAGAGGGAAACACCCAACACCCCTACCCCAGTACAGAGACTGGAGGGCACCAGTCCCAGGACCCCAGTCCCTTGCCCGTCGGCCTGACTGTCTCCCGCTCTCTCTGAGCAGCGGCTGCAGTGGGAGGCCTGGCTCAGCGGAGATGCGCCTTTCTGAACGGTAGGCAGCCCCTGACGGTGGGCGGAGGTGCCATGGAGGGCGTGGGCCACGGCTGTGCCTGGGCGCCGGAAGCTGCACTAGGAAAAGGCCCGATCCCACCCAGGCCTGGCACGAGTGCTGGCCCTGGGCTCTGCACGGGAGAACCCTGGGGCCCAGGGTCAGGCAGCCCTGCTGGGGACATTGGGGACTCAGCACACTGACTGAGATGATCAGGTGGGGCCAGGCCCCTGCCACGACTGTCCCCAGACACAAAAGCAGGAGGTGTGCCCGTGTGCCGCGCCCCGGCCTCCCAGGGCAGGTGTCTGCAGGCAGGTGAGATGGGGCGGGGAGCAGGCACAGAGAGGGCGGCAGCCCACGACCTCCTGCAGCCGTGCCCCTCAGCCGAGCACCGTTACGGCGTCGGAAACTGTTACCTGAGTCCTCAGCTTGATCATGTCGGCCTCCATCTGCGAGTTGGACTCGCTGAGCTCCTTGATCTCCTCGTCCAGCTGCTTGATCTCCTCGTCGTTCTCGATCCCTGCAACGAGCAGCGCCGCGCGTCAGCCTTGGCCCTGGGCCGGGCATCGGCACGCGAACCTGACCCAGGGAGGTGGGGTCCCGGCACGTGAACTCTGACCTGGGGGATTTGGGATGCCGGCATGTGAACTCTGACCCGGGGGGTTTGGGGTGCTGGCACGTGAACCTTCACCCAGACATGCCTCTTCTAGGAGATTGGCATTTGGTGTTGGACTAGCTCAGAAATACAGGTCGGGGTTTAGAAAAACAGGCATGTTCTGTCTGCCAAGGCCCCCTCCGCTCCTCACAGAACCAAGGCCTTGGGAAGGAGGGTGGCAGGGCAAAGGCTGGGAGTGCTACCCCACGGCCGCTGTGGGGAGGCCAGCCCAATCTTGGCTCTGTCCTGGGCCCGGCGGAGCGTGGCCTGGGCCGACCTCCTGGCTCCTCCTCGCCGCCTTCGATCACCCACCTCCCCGTCCACCCAGCCCTAGCATGGGGGGCCTGCTCCACTCTGGGGAGGACACCTCCAACCCTGCTCGGGCCTCCAGGGGACACTGTAACTAGGCTGCATGGACAGAGGGGTGCAGTCCCCAGGACCGGGCTGAGACACGGGAGAGCTGCATGAGGAGAAAGGGTGGGACTGGCGGGGCCAAGGCTGGCCACTGTTCCAGGGACGTGGAAACCCGCTTCTGAATGGGGAAGCTGTCTCCCAAGGGGGCGCGTGCCCTCCACTGCGGCCTCCTCGCAGAGTGGCAGAGTGGCAGAGTGGCAGAGAGCTCGCTGGCTCCTGGCCTGCACCCCTTACTGGCTCCCCCTCTTGGAGGTCCTGGGCCTAGGTACCACAGCAGCTCTGGGTACTCCCATGCCAGGTCCCTGGCATCCGATAGCAGCTCCAGGACTGGCACCCCCACGGCAGGTCCCTGGCACCCCCACGGCAGGGTCCCGGGCACCCCACGGCAGGTCCCGGGTACCCCCACGATAGGTCCCAGGCACCCCCACGGCAGGTCCTAGGCACCCCCCACAGCTTTCTGGCCTCTCTCCCTCCCCCTGGAGTGCCC